GAATATGGAGGTTGTTCACGAACATGTTAGTGTGAGTGAGTTGGGATTTACAACGCTTTTAGCAATATTCCAGCAATATCACGACGGGGGACACCAGAATGGGCTTCACACATTGTACCCATGTTGGGAATCGAACCCGGGTCTTCAGCGTGACGAGCGAACGCTTTAACCACTAGGCTAAACCACCCAGCGTAAGACACGTTTTGTTTGTTTGTTTGTTTCTCACCCTGACAACGTTGTAGAACATGACGAAGATTGTGGGTATTTTTGTTAGATTGTAAATCTTCAGGTTTCGGAAACATTCCAACCCTACTAGCATACAGTAAACAACACCTTGTTAGAGGCCAACAACATGGTGCCTCGAGTGCTGGAACCCGAAAACCAATGTTTGATCACTGTCGATCATACCCCTAGACTACCTGTCTTCATTAAGCCTGTTTGACCATGTTCTCTGAGGCTTTGTATATGTACAGAGCTGGGGATAACACGCAATATGACAGTACAGTTACCCGGATTAGGTTTCTGGTAAATCTCAAGTAGGCGGCCATTGCTATCATGGACATCAAGATATCTAGTTGTTGGTGACGTGTGTTGGAACTGTGAATCTTTAGCTGTGAATCTTACACTGTGAATCTTTAGCTGTGAATCTTACACTGTGAATCTTACACTGTGAATCTTTAGCTGTGAATCTTACACTGTGAATCTTACACTGTGAATCTTTAGCTGTGAATCTTACACTGTGAATCTTTAGCTGTGAATCTTACACTGTGAATCTTTAGCTGTGAATCTTTAGCTGTGAATCTTACACTGTGAATCTTTAGCTGTGAATCTTACACTGTGAATCTTTAGCTGTGAATCTTACACTGTGAATCTTACAATGTGAATCTTCAGCTGTGAATCTTACACTGTGAATCTTTAGCTGTGAATCTTACACTGTGAATCTTTAGCTGTGAATCTTACACTGTGAATCTTTAGCTGCGAATCTTTAGTTGTGAATCCTACACTGTGAATCTTTAGCTGTGAATCTTAAGCTGTGAATCTTACACTGTGAATCTTTAGCTGTGAATCTTACACTGTGAATCTTTAGCTGTGAATCTTACACTGTGAATCTTTAGCTGTGAATCTTACACTGTGAATCTTTAGCTGTGAATCTTACAATGTGAATCTTTAGCTGTGAATCTTACACTGTGAATCTTTAGCTGTGAATCTTACACTGTGAATCTTTAGCTGTGAATCTTACACTGTGAATCTTTAGCTGTGAATCTTACACTGTGAATCTTTAGCTGTGAATCTTACACTGTGAATCTTTAGCTGTGAATCTTACACTGTGAATCTTTAGCTGTGAATCTTACACTGTGAATCTTTAGCTGTGAATCTTACACTGTGAATCTTTAGCTGCGAATCTTTAGTTGTGAATCCTACACTGTGAATCTTTAGCTGTGAATCTTAAGCTGTGAATCTTACACTGTGAATCTTTAGCTGTGAATCTTACACTGTGAATCTTTAGCTGTGAATCTTACACTGTGAATCTTTAGCTGTGAATCTTACACTGTGAATCTTTAGCTGTGAATCTTACAATGTGAATCTTTAGCTGTGAATCTTACACTGTGAATCTTTAGCTGTGAATCTTACACTGTGAATCATACACTGTGAATCTTTAGCTGTTAATCTTACACTGTGAATCCTACACTGTGAATCTTTAGCTGTGAATCTTATACTGTGGATCTTAGACTGTTAATCGTATACTGTGAGATCAAGAGGCGTGTCCGAGAGTAAGAAGTACCGGAGAGGGTGTACCAACTCCCTGAGCGGGATTCCCTGAGCGGGATGTCATGACCAAAGGGTAATGCTTAAATATAATCTCCTTGTGTCAGAAACAGGTCACTGAGATACATCTATCGCAGCTGCTACACTTTATGAAAGGGTTGTGTGTGAGTGAGTTGGGTTTTACACCGCATTTCGCAATATTCCAGCAATATCACGGCGCGAGATACCAGAAATAGGCTTCACACATTGTACCCATGTGGGGAATCAAACCCGGGTGTTCGGCGTGACGAGCGAACGCTTCAACCACTAGGCTACCCCACCGCCCCTATGAAAGGGTTGTGGTACACGTAGGGTAAGTTTGCTCTTTGCAAATGGAACCAAGGTCGCGTTCTATCTCAACGCTGAGACGGTTTCAAGTTCCTATACTTTAATGTTGGATAACTAACTGCTAAGATCGGTTTGAGGGACCGGGCACTGGGTCCACCTGCACAAAGCTATTGTAAATCTCATACTTGTGCACGGCTTACAATAGTCATAGCTGGCCCTCAGCCTATTTCAACAGCCTATTTCGAAGCACTTTGACTACCGTAACTCAAACCTCTCCATGGACATACAATAGTTGTTGGGTTAAATTCGGTGGAACGTAGACCGCGTGTTGAAACAACGGGTAAGAAAATACAGACAAATGAAATTGGTTAAACATCAAGTCATTGTAAACATTTACACCAATTAATTTCTTTATATTTTTGCGCAAATTGCATTCAAGTTATTTTTAGCTGTCCATCGGTCCCGAAAGAGGGGCGATAACCTGGCGGTGAAAGCGCTCTTTCGTCGTCGAAGGCTCGGATCCACAAGCGCTATTGATACAATGTGTGAAGCTAATGTTGGTGTCCTATTCTGTGGTATTGGTGGAAGAGTGCTATTTGACTATTTGTTACCCCATTTGATGAAACGTTTTCAACACAATTACACGATCAATAAACACACGTCGATAAATACTAAATTCACCTCTCATTTTCGAAATAGCTGTAACCGGGCTTGTCGAGTTAACTTGTGAAATATTTATGTTTATATTCTATTTAAGAGCTGATGACTAAAACAGCCTCATGCCAAAACAGCCAAGGAGATAATCATGCCTATCTATACTTAGCCGTTGTTTTAAATCATACTTACAAGGCTCGGGACATTAAAAATATAACATTAATTTTAAACTCCTTCATTCCTCGAAGCTTATAAGTTATTCTCGAGCCATAACGCCAACCGTGCCTGTTATTTACTTACTAAACTATAAGTGAGTTAGTGAGTTGAGTTTTACGCCGCACTCAGTAATATTCCAGCTATATGGCGGCGGTCTGTAAATAATCGAGTCTGCACCAGACAACCCAGTGATCAACACCATGAGCATCGATCTGCGCAATTGGGAACCGATGACATGTGTCAGCCAAGTCAGCGAGCCTGACCGACCAATCCCGTTAGTCGCCTCTTACGACAAGCATGGGTTACTGAAGACCAATTCTAACCCGGATCTTCACGGGTCAGAGCAGGAAGTCTACATGTCTACCTCTAGTGACCTATATCCCTAGACCTGAAGATCAATTCTAACCCGGATCTTCACGTGTGTATGTACTAGTCCTAGGTATAAAGAGACTATAGCTCCTGGCTTACCTGTAATTGCTACCCTTACATGTGTCAACGAAAACACTCGAAAACACAACGAAATTGTTAAGGATGGTACTCTAACTGACAAATGCAGTATGTTTCCACTTCATACGTACTATGTGCATGACTAAACACGTGGTCTTTGTTTTCAATCGGATTTATGACCTGATCGTGACGTCCGGTCTGTTTTGGAATGGGCAAAAAGAAATCTTTTCTATACAGTTAACACATAATGCAAGTATGGTATATAAAGGACCACTCATATATTTCGGTATAACCGTAGTTCATTCGACACATTCCGATTAAAACGTACAATGGCCGGGACTAAACAAAATCCGGTTCTCCCGGTGCTACGTTATAGACGTTACTTATTTTAACATGGTATTTTGAGGGCAGGATATGGACCTAATAATGATATACAATGTATATGAATTGGCCTTCTCTCACCTGAAACTTGTCAATAACGAAGTTTATACGCAGGCATAAATATTCACGCACAAGTTGCTTTATAAAAAATATACTCTCCCAAAAAAGAAACGCATATAGCAATTTCAACTGTATTTTTATGTTTATTTTGAAACATCTTGTAGGCTTTATGAGTCAATGAAATATAGCGAAATTGCACACTGGGAATGCAGACTTATCCGTCTTTGGCACCAACTCGAGGGAAGTCAGTTTGAGTGCCACATGGAGACGTGTGGTGGCGCTGAAGTCAATACCTCGTGTGACCACCTTGGGCATCCAGAACTGCACGGCATCGCCTCGGCATCGAACGAATGTCTCAGAATCTCGTGTTGCCCAATCGCAGCCCACTCTGCCTGTAGTGCCTGTGCGAGTTGCTGAAGTGTCTGGGGCTGAGGGTTACGGCGTCGCACCCGTCTGTCCAGGGCATCCCACATATGTTCGATCGGGTTTAAGTCCGGTGATCTTGAGGGCCAGGGGAGCACATTGATGTTGTGGTTCTGGAGGAAGTCTCAAGTGTGACGTGCTGTGTGGGGCTTGGTATTGTCCTGTTGAAACAACTCCCTCTGGCGATCAATGATTGGAAGGAGGTGTGGGCGTAGGATTTCGACACAGTACCGTTGAGCTGTCAGGTTGCCCTGGATCATCACCAAATCCCTTCTCCTACGACAGGTGATCGCTCCCAACATCATAACACTTCCCCGGCCGAATCTGTCCACCTGGGGAACGCAAGCGTCGGCGAAACGTTTACGTCGACGTCTATACACCCGCATTCTTCCATCGCGTCGTTCCAATAGAAATCGTGATTCATCACTGAACCAGATTCTACGCCAATTCGGTAGGTTCCAGGCCTGAACGTTGGTGCACCATTGAACTCGATGTCGACGATGTTATTGTCGAAGCACAGGGCCAAAATAAGGTCTTCTGGCACGTCAACCAGCCTCTCTCAACCTGTTCCTGACGGTATGTGCAGAAAGGCTCCTCAATCCGGGTATCTGTCGAGCGGTATTGGTCGCCGGAGCTGTTCGATGACGCAGGTGATGTACCTGGATGTAGCCATCCTGCGCCGCAGTGGTCGCTCGAGGTCGCCCACTACGAGGGGCATCTGCTACCGAATTCTGCCGGCGATATCTCTCCCAGAGCCGTGAAATGGTGCTTTGGTGAACAGTCATGCGTCGGGCAACTGCAAGTTGAGACTGGCCAGCTTCAAGCAAACCAATGGCGATATGACGGTTGGCTTCACTTAGACGTGGCATTTTGCGTTCGTCAACAATATTCCAAATACAGTGAATAGTCGACAGACAGCGATCAACCTTTTATACCCATCATTGAGACTATCTGATCCCCAACTTTCACGTGCATTGCATGTGAATTGTGTATTCTGTGACACTACACGCCGAAATTGAAAATCATGCTGTTAAATACGGGTATTTTACGGATGGTGCGTTTTGTTGTGATGTTTCAAAACATAAACACCATAGGACTCATAAACAGAGCAAAACCTTTTGTAAAATGATTCACGTTTTAATTCATTGCTACATGAAATTGCTATGTTCATGATGCGTTTCTTTTTTGGGAGAGTATATATACAGAATGCGTCTATCAATGATACATAAAGATATAATAAGTCTAGCCAGCTTTAGTTCGGATCAATTTCCGAACCAGCGTAAACTGAAACTAATAAATATTTCATCGTTCTTTTATTATATATTTACTTGGAGCATAAATAGATCGCTTTGGTGATTATAGACAAGAGTTTGCAACTTAATTCCTATATCAATTATAATCAGCAATACGACTGGACGACAGTAAACAATGCATTCATTGGTCCTTGGTATCGAATGAAAACAAATGACGGAGGCTGAAGCTGATCAGGTAGCCTTGCTCCAAAGCTAAGGCCATGGATGTATAGTAATTCTATCCTTCACAGAGGCAAGTTTAGATAATCGGGTAGTACGCCAGTCTGTTATTTATATTCTTTAAGAAATTTTCATTTAAACTATTAATTATTATTTGTTTGAGTGGCCTTCTAGAAGTTGGTGGTATTGAGATGACAAGACTTTATGGATGAGCATATGCTTGAAAACTGTATAAGAATCTATACCGAAACGTCGCCATTGTCAAAATAAAGAAGTTGATCATCCATAAAGTCTTGTAATCTCTATTAATTATTACTTTAAAGACTTGTGCAAGTCTATTGGTCAGTGTACAGCTGCTTTCGTCAAAGTGAACATTAGTGTAGGCGTTTGACATGGTGATGTATCCAAGTTTATTTGTTTATTACACCTCGTTTGGGGCATTTAAGACGCATGTGACATAGGTGACAGGTTGCACATTGGCTGATTACTTGCACCCGTTAAACAATTGTACATGTGCGCCATAACACTTGACCAGTTTGACACAAATATATCACATCATTTGTGAGTTGTAAGAAAACAATAAGATGCGATCATTGTCCTCTTATTCATCAGGCTCGCTCATTGCAATACTTATTCATAATTCTTATTGCTTCTAAACAACAACAACTCTACTTTAAAACATATCGTCAAGTCACACAAGTTCGATCGACATGTAACTTCTATCGCCCATTTTGAATGGTAATTGTCGCGATACGTAGCGATAACTTACGGTATCTGCAGCTTTGATCTTCTGGTGACACCGCTTTCATTCGTTTGGATCGGAAAATGTTTCGTGTCAAGTTACCAAACGTAAGTTATAGCTCATATTCAGTAAACAACTGCTTTTTAACCCTAGATCAATAATGTAACTTTATCAGCTCAAATAAAATGCAAACAGTATTTATTTCACACGTTGTAAATTGACAGCACACCTGTCTTCTGTTTGTTTTAAAGTTGCTGGTCTAATTGTGACATGTCCAGACACGTGATATCCTTGTCAAAATTTAAAACTTTGGAAACAAGTAAGGGCCATTTCTTATAGAAAACTTAATGCTCCTTTGAGATTTTCCGTCAATTTGTACCTGATGAGGTTCGGGTATTGCCTCATTGATAAATACAACCTGGGCACAATGTACCCACCCTACATGTCAGCACAGAACACATTTACGATTCTGCAAGCCAGTTCGTGGTGTTTGTCGACATTCTGAGGTTTGGTGCCCGTCACGATGAGCCTGAAGAATAACTCCCTGCATAATACTTGTATATAAGCTGAATATTTGTGACTTTTCGTCGTTTTTAGAAGTATATAAACATAAAATGAACGTTTCATGGACATAAATACCATTAAATTACTTGGGACTGCTTTAACTCTGAATTTGACACAAGAGGTCATCCATACACGTCATCCTGTTTACGCGACAAGCCAGCCAATCATATGATCGAACTTGTGTGACGTAGCTTTCTGGGTCACCTGTGTTTGACAGTGAGAGGGCGGCCATGCCGCGATTGTGAAAAGCAGTAAAAATACCTGGATTTCGGAAATGTTTGACATAAATAAACAAGTTTAGAGGTAAGAGATTTGAAAATAAGATTATATGAATATTACTTTGAAAATTCAGCGACAGTTCTTAGGTGATCGAACTTACATGGCACGAGGGTATATGAATCAGATTAAGTGTGAATTCAGTGTAAATTAAATGTCATTGGCATGAAGGCCAAATATTGTATGCATCAAGCTTTGTTTTACTGTTTAGTCGTGACATCATATGAATAATCATCATTACCGCCACCACCATCATCATCATGATAATCACCATCATCATGCCATCACGTGCTCCTACAACAATGTCCTGTACACACTGCTATCTGCCACATGATATTGCCATACACACACAGTTACCTACGTATATTCATGACGCTTGGCGACCGCCTCCGTGGTGTAGTGGTTAGAGCGTCCGCCCGGAGAGCGGAAGGTCGCGGGTTCGATCCCCGACCGCGTCATACCAAAAGACGTTAAAATATGGTACTTGTTGGTCCCTGCCTGGCGCTCGGCATTAATGGGTACAACAAGGACTGGTCGGCTCGGAGTCAGTACAGTGTGTCTGAGTGGGGTATTCCTGCTTCACTGCGACATGGTATCTCAGTGGGCTAGCACTATAAAACCAGCTTCAGTCTGGGCTAGTACAAGCAGCCGCACATACACATACACACGCATACACGTCGTCATATGAGCGAAATATTCCCAAGCACGACGTTAAACCCAATTTCACCTTACCTCACCATGAAGTTTGGCAATTCCGACCTTTGTAAGTGTAGCTTACACCGCGTCTTGTTCATGCAAATTCCCCCATATCGTATACGCTGTAATGTGGAATATGTCTATATCCCACATAACTTATTGAATTAAATATTTCACATTCCAATGATAAATTCACTGCCACCCTTCTGTCCGGAACACTGTCGAGTCAGCATAAATTCTGACCACGTTACCGCATTGATGTAAACTGACAGTTACTATGTAAAGCCTGGCATGGCATTCATATGTAACAATTTTCTCAAGAAGTACAGACTGTTCCTGGTATTTGGAAGACGTCGATTACATGCCATAATGGCAATCTGTGGAATCGAATGTGTGTCGGAATGGGCACAATCATTGCAACTGGATCTCTGATACTAACGCATAATAACATCCAATATCACAATGGAAAAATGATGATTCAGCGAGTTACCATTGCTCCAACAATAGGCTGCATGTTTAGACTGTATCAACCTGTAAACCAAAATGCAAACAGAGAGTGAAGAGAAGAAATAAAGTTGTACAATCGTTTTATGATATCGAATGATAGAACATGTGGCACAAATGAGTCCCAAGTGATAGAATACATGTCATTATAAAGGGGTCGGGTGATAGATCTTGTGGTATTTTGATGAGACTCCATAGGACGTATGACATTAGAACGGGGTTCAGTGATACATCACTGTATGATAATGGGGCTCAGTGATATGACGTATGACATTATAACGGGGTTCAGTGATACATCACTGTATGATAATGGGGCTCAGTGATAGGGCGTATGGCATTATAACGGGTTCAGTGACACATCACTGTATGATAATGGGGCTCAGTGATAGGACGTATGACATTATAACGGGGACCAGTGATACATCACTGTATGATAATGGGGCTCAGTGATATGACGTATGACATTATAACGGGGTTCAGTGATACATCACTGTATGATAATGGGGCTCAGTGATATGACGTATGGCATTATAACGGGGTTCAGTGATACATCACTGTATGATAATGGGGCTCAGTGATCGGACGTTCATGGCATTATAACGGGGTTCAGTGATACATCACTGTATGATAATGGGGCTCAGTGATAGGACGTATGACATTATAACGGGTTCAGTGATACATCACTGTATGATAATGGGGCTCAGTGATAGGACGTATGACATTATAACGGGGACCAGTGATACATCACTGTATGATAATGGGGCTCAGTGATATGACGTATGGCATTATAACGGGTTCAGTGATACATCACTGTATGATAATGGGGCTCAGTGATAGGACGTATGGCATTATAACGGGTTCAGTGATACATCACTGTATGATAATGGGGCTCAGTGATAGGACGTATGGCATTATAACGGGTTCAGTGACACATCACTGTATGATAATGGGGCTCAGTGATATGACGTATGACATTATAACGGGGTTCAGTGATACATCACTGTATGATAATGGGGCTCAGTGATATGACGTATGACATTATAACGGGGTTCAGTGATACATCACTGTATGATAATGGGGCTCAGTGATATGACGTATGGCATTATAACGGGTTCAGTGACACATCACTGTATGATAATGGGGCTCAGTGATAGGACGTATGGCATTATAACGGGTTCAGTGACACATCACTGTATGATAATGGGGCTCAGTGATATGACGTATGGCATTATAACGGGTTCAGTGACACATCACTGTATGAAAATGGGGCTCAGTGATAGGACGTATGGCATTATAACGGGTTCAGTGATACATCACTGTATGATAATGGGGCTCAGTGATATGACGTATGGCATTATAACGGGTTCAGTGACACATCACTGTATGATAATGGGGCTCAGTGATAGGACGTATGGCATTATAACGGGTTCAGTGACACATCACTGTATGATAATGGGGCTCAGTGATATGATGTATGGCATTATTATACTGTATGACAATGGGGGTATCAGTGATACATCACTGTAGTGACGACAATGGGGGAACGGTGGGTTCAGTGATGACGTACTGGCATTGCCCAAATCAGAATAGACGCATAACAGAGTACACCAGAATAATCAGTGATATAAAATAATCTGCTCAGTATAGCCTTTAACACACCGCACCGTCCAAATCCAGAATAGACGCAGATGAGTACTAGAATAATCTGCTCAGTATAGGGGTGCCTTTAACACACCGCTCCAAATCCAGAATAGACGCAGATGAGTACTAGAATAATCTGCTCAGTATAGGGGTGCCTTTAACACACCGCCCCAAATCCAGAATAGACGCAGATGCCCCAAATCCAGAATAGACGCAGATGAGTACTAGAATAATCTGCTCAGTATAGGGGTGCCTTTAACACACCGCTCCAAATCCAGAATAGACGCAGATGAGTACTAGAATAATCTGCTCAGTATAGGGGTGCCTTTAACACACCGCTCCAAATCCAGAATAGACGCAGATGAGTACTAGAATAATCTGCTCAGTATAGGGGTGCCTTTAACACACCGCCCCAGAATAGACGCAGATGACACACCGCTCCAAATCCAGAATAGACGCAGATGAGTAATAATCTGCTAGATAGGGGTGCCTTTAACACACTGCCAAATCAGAATAGACGCAGATGTACTAGAATAATCTGCTCAGTATAGGGGTGCCTTTAACACACCGCTCCAAATCCAGAATAGACGCAGATGAGTACTAGAATAATCTGCTCAGTATAGGGGTGCCTTTAACACACCGCCCCAAATCCAGAATAGACGCAGATGAGTACTAGAATAATCTGCTCAGTATAGGGGTGCCTTTAACACACCGCTCCAAATCCAGAATACACAGATGAGTACTAGAATAATCTGCTCAATAGGGGTGCCTTTAACATAGACGCAGATGAGAGTATAATCTGAGTAAGGGGTGCCTTTAACACACCGCTCAGTATAGACGCAGTGCCTTTAACACACCGCTCCAAATCCAGAATAGACGCAGATGAGTACTAGAATAATCTGCTCAGTATAGGGGTGCCTTTAACGCAGTGTGTTTGAAGCAACATGTCGGGGGCATGACCTCACGAGCATGAAGGGAGAGCCCAATCGACTTCATGTCCGCTACACAGGTAATATATTGCCCGTCCGTGCATTACGAAACACGATAAATATGTACAGGTTTCAACGTGTCCAACATCAAACCTTTAAAAACTGACAACTTGAAGTATTACACATGCCACTAGAATTGAAAGAATATGTTTTTCAGAGACATCACCCAGTATTCCAAAACGTGGAGCAGGGGCTCCCTTCACGAAGCCACCTTTAACATTGCACTAAGGTTACCTAAGTGACTTACGATGACCTTAGTGCTTTGTGAAAGGAGGAAAATGGTTTGTTGTAAATAATCGAGTCTGAACCAAACAATCCAGTGACCAAGAGCATGAGTATCGATCTATGCAACTGGGATACGATGACATGTGTCAACCAAGTCAGCGAGCTTGACCACCCGATCCAGTTAGTTGCCTCCTACGACAAGCATGGGTTACTGAAGACCAATTCTAACCCGGATCTTCACGGGTCGGAGCAGGAAGTCTACATGCTTACCTCTAGTGACCTATATACCTAGCCCAGTACACGTACGAACGCTGTATATAGACCTCACGTTATCACCGTTATCGGGGGACTGTTTTATCGAACTCAATTAATATATCACAAAGGAAGTTTCCTTGTGGAACACGAGCTCCTTCGTACGAGATAAACAGTGTGTTCATATACCAGAGCTCCAGATAAGATTTAGCTCATGTGGGTACTGTACCCACTGTATTTTTGGAGTGGGTATTATGAATGTTGAGTGGGTATTTCATTTTCCGTTACCCACTGCTTTCAAATATGTGCGTATTTCAGTCATTTTACTCACCTAAGTATTATGTCATTGAGTAAGTTTACTAAGCAGGTATGTTCTGTCTTATGTCATACCTAATCAAAACCAACTTAAATATAATGGAAATGATTTCATAAAAAATCACTCATCCTATACTGACAGAACAACACTTGTCCTATACTAACAGTACAACTTGATAGCAATCGATGTCTTTTTCATAACGCAAGCGATTTTTATAAATATATTCCGTACGCATTTGTTTTACACTTTTTGCGTATCTAACATTTTAAATGCGTAATTGGTATGCAAGAATTATTTTTCAATGCGTAATTGGAAATTTTCTATGCGTATTTTACCCGGATACGCAGCTTATCTGGGCCTCTGCTGTTCCTCAACTAAAGGACTGTTCATAATTTATGGCTAGGGGGGCTGCTGCTGATTTTTGATGGAGAAGCATGTACAATGTGAGTGACACCCCCCCCCTAAAAATAAATTTATGTACAAAGAAGCTGACCCCCTGCATGTCATGTACAAAATCAATGACCCCCTCCCCTTCCCATATTTTTTAGCATAATTTTTTAATAATGTTGTGTACAAAATTGATGACACCCCATCCCCCCCCTCCTAGTACTTGTGTACAAAATATTGATGACCCCCTACCTCACCAGAACAAAATGGGTGAAACACCCCCACCCCCCTTTAAAATCATCATCATCCCCTAGCCATAAATTATGAAAGGTCCCTAAGCAGAAAGTTATCAATGAGATAAGGTACCCTGAACTTTCAAAAGAAATTATCTCGTCTTGATATGACGTTTGAAAAGTATTATTAATATTTTAGTACATTATTATAATTAGGTTTTCATAGATGCCCTTTATGGGACATGTATTACAAATAAGGGGCCGTACATAATTTATGGGTAGGGGGGCGGATGATAATGATTTTGACACCCATTAAAGTTTATGTAAAATCAAGGTCCCTCACAGTTCATGTGTACAAAATTGATGACAAACCCACCCCCACCCTTACCTCTCCAGAACAAATCGGTCACCCCCCGTAGGATCATCATCACCCGAACGGTGTCCTGAAAACACGTATTCCATCACAAACAACGAAAGAGTATGGGCGACTAACGGGTTCGGGTGGTCAGGTTCGCTGACTTGGTTGACACATGTCATTATATCCCAATTGTGTAGATCGATGCTCATGCTGTTGATCACCGGATTGTCTGGTCCAGACTCAGTTATTTACAGACCGCCGCCATATAGCTGGAATATTGCTGAGTGCAGCGTTAAACAACAAACAAACAACGAATGACGTCATTGCCAATAACACGCCAATAGCATGATGTTACCATGGGATACAATACGGAACAATGAAACAGGAAGTGCTTATAAGCAAATCAGCAGGCAGTCATTCCTCCCCGATATCAATCTTCAGCTACGTGTGGAAAGTTTTGCAGTTCCTGCTAGCAATATGTTCTTGTTTGTTTTAGGTCCCCATGAGTATGACATCACACGTGTATGCGGCCGTGAAGCCAGGGAAAGAGGGACGTCGCGCCTGCGTCTGATAAGGAAACACATATACCCGTGTATGCCTCAGATTGTCTTCTCCAGTGATATACTTTCCTGCATGGGTCCGTATCTGATCAACGTAGCCGTTTACCTCCATATGGACCCGGTGTTAAAGAATCTTCCATGACTGATGAAGCTGTGTAAAAGAATGATGCCTGCTTGTAACACATCTAGAATCATATGGCGTACATGTATGTGGAATATGTTTGGACTATTTTGAAAACTGTGTGCGATATTTCCAAACTGCTATGATGACTCACCATTCTTACACATCTAATCATGCAGTGCCTGTGCTCAACTCCTCCCTCAAGCCCGATACCAACGATACGTCTGTCTTTGACGTCTGCAGAGCAAGCAACGTCAACTCCACCAACGATCTCCAACCAGACACCCTCGACGAAGTCATAGTGTTTGTCAATTTGTACATACCCCCGGTACTCATTATATTTGGCAATGTTTTCAATGTGCTCGCCATTATGGTCATGCGCCACAAGTACTTCCGGAATCTGTCCACTTCCGTTTACATGATGGCTGGGGCTGTCAACGATGCTTCAAGTCTTCTTATCTCCTTAATTCCTCATTGGTTGTCAGTAAACTTCCCAGAAACCATTGCGAGGAACAGTGCTATGAATTTTATGTGCAAGTTCTTCAACTTCTATGGCTGGGGAAACTGTGACTTTAGTATTATGGTGACAGCCGCCATGACGGCTGATCGAGCCTACGCAATAAAATATCCTTTAAAAAATTCTTCAGCAAACAGTATAAAGCGGGCTAAGATTGTGATCACGGTGTTAGCAGTGGTCGTCGTGCTGAAGGAGTTCCATTTCTGGTTTACGTCTATCATCGTGCCTGCAGACAGGAAAGACAGAATGTGTGACGTTGACCTTTCCTCCCTGTCGTACTGTTATTTCTATCACCAGGTCTGGCCGTGGATTCATATAGCATTTTTGTCCCTGTGTTTTCTTGTCATCATCTCCAGCAACTGTATTATAATTAAAAGTGTCAAAAACGCTGGTGGGAAAAGTTTCCGAAAAACTATGAAAAACAACAATTCGGAAGTTTCGGCGAGAAGAAATACAAGGTCACGTTTAAAATGGCGGCAAATAACGGCCATGTTGTTGGCTGATTCGTTTGCCTTGTTACTGTTGACGTTCCCATTCTCGGTGCATCTGGCCGTGACCTTGACAATGAAAGACGAAGGACCGGAAGTTCAAAAAATCAATGGATATATATTTTCAATGGTCCTATATCTTTTGTACTCCAACAAGTGTGTAAACTTCTGCCTGTATTGTATGACGGGATCGCGATTCAGAATGGCGCTTCGCGAGGTCATCACGTGCAAAAGGTTACGGTGCCAAGGGGGAAAATTCTTTACAGTTCTCGCCAAATCTGCATATCAAGGAAGCACGTTCACTGGTAACAACACAAGCACGCCCAACTCATCCTCCCCTGGCAGCTCTCTGAAGAGAGAACACTCAGAATTAGAAAAGACGGACAAATTCTAAATCTGTCTCATTCGTCGGTATTAAATTGATCCTCATAAATCTTTAACTGAAATCAGTCCCCTCTTTCTTCAAAATATTGATTCAAACAAACCTGAAATATATTTTATCAGTGATGTGTCCCAAACTCATTTTTTATGGATTTTTATTACGTAACATTTATTACGATTTATTACAATCTGACATGTACCGTTCCAGTCTAAAGAAGAAGGTGGTTGAATGTAAAATGGAGAATGTACTTAATACATACTTGCTAAAACTGTCGTCATTTGATTAATAAGGTCTTCAAGGAATCGAGGTATATAAAATTACGATATCTTGTTCTTGGAAAGTCATTTAATTAATATGTTGGAAGGAATATGGAAGGCTTGGTATATTTTTAAAATTACGATATCTTGTTCTTGGAATATGATACATAGGTTAAATAATGGGATATCTTGTTCTTGGAATATGATACATATTCATAATGGGAGTGGCATTGTCACCACTCGCCTTTTTCCGCTCGGCTTGTCCTGGAATGGCGAGTGTGGTCACAAAGTGGTGTACCAAATGTCCGCTCAATATTCACAACAGATAAATGTTTTAAAAAATGGATAGAAGGAGGATTTTAGAGGCGCAGCTCCTGATAATGCTCCTGAGACCTCTCCACAGAACACCTGCAGCAAGCGTACGGTTCCTCCCGATCAATTTTGGCAGGATTGGCTGAATCTACAATGGAACTAGTTTCTTTTATGAGACAATCACATGACGCAACACACCAAGACAACCCCGACACCCTGTTTAAATTGTTTTGTTCGTTTTTTGCTCCAAATCAAAGTATACCTACTCCTTCAAGAATTACAAAAAGCTGTTTCCCAAACCGCCCGCCGTGTTATACCAGTTTTATACACCAGAATGTGCTCGTTAACGGAAACTGTAGGGTTGTGCCATGTCACTGCGTCGGTATTGTGGTGGTATGTAGAGAAATCGCCCCTAGTCCATCGGAATGTTTCCGTGCTGCGTATTAACGAAGTATTGCTGAAGCTGGAGTAAAATGATCCCTACAGTATGACATATGAACAACATGACTTTTCTGATGATAGTTCCTTTGATATTCCAAATATTCAAGACTCAAGCATTAATATTTAAAACAGTCTAAGGAATATTGAAGAAATGAATAATGAACACGATTATTATGTACATGAATTTCAGGTAGCAAATTTGAATAAATTAGACAAAAGACAACCAACAAAACAAAATAGTTGAGTCTTGCACGGAAGATTATTATGGTCATATGTTTGTTTTTCTTTAATTTTCCAAGAGGACTTCAAATTTGGAATCTTTACAGGCCACAATGTAGACTAAGGTTTAGTCTCTGAATATATATAATTTTGATAGTAACAAACAAGCCCCTTTATATTGAAAAGGAGCCCTAGGGAGACCAGAGATTCAGAACCTGAGGAAATCTAGACTTGCTTTATTTAGGGCTTTAGCACTGCAGAGAGGGCTTGGCAGTAGGGAAATTAATGTGGTTCAGGGACTGTGAGACAGACTAGCCACAATGCTATTATGACCCTTATGGGTTTCCGTAGTTTCCGTTCTCAACATTCCAAACATCTGTTTCGACAGTCGAGATTAACGCCACTGTTCACTGGGGCGGATGTTTTATATTACATGGATATGTACATATTGTCAGTGTTTTATTGAAGTGTTTTATTGATGGAATGTACTTTTGGTGTGTTATCGTTAAAAACGACTCAGGTGTGATCAGGTGGGATTTACCGTGGGAGTTTACGTCCTGGAAACAGCAACAAACACATGTCTCATTTGAAGAATGGTCTGGTTTGTAGTTAACAGCTTTATATAAACTGGTTTATGTTGTGGGAAATTGTTACATCTGTTTTTATGTTGTTGTTTTTCTATTTTGTGAGTACAAAAAAATAAAATATTCGGTATACACACGATTCATAATTGTTTTCATTCTGAACTAATTGGATTGTGTGGACACAATGTTGCATTAGCAGCAATATTCCACCTTAATTTTTTCGGTTTAGGAAAGAATTAAGTTAATGACGGTGAAAGCGATATTTCAACAATATCAAGACAAGTTGCGTCAGGAATTGGCCTCCTATAATGTAGAAATGTGTGACGCTCATATTTTCATTACAGCAATCAATGAAATTACTTCAGTATCTGTCCGACACATCATCTAATGATCTTTGAATGATTGGCAAATAAATCAACGATCACTGACAGCTAATCGCCATAGGTTCAAAAACCACTTTGCAAATCTCCCCTGTAATGGTGAACGTGGCGGCCATTTTGACGTCCTGCTTAAAGTAAACATGTTACGACGCACTGTGTTGGCAGACATGTGTGTCCAATTACGCGATATTATTAAGATCTTATTGTTGTGACCAAACTACAAAAGCTGGGCATGCAATTACAGCATACATACAACCACGTCGCATCCAGTTCTGAAGGGGTATTGTTTCCGCGATACAGCTGGCGGTTGATGGCTGTCAGTGTTAGCAAGAAGTCAGGCGTACTAACAATCTTCAAGCTTGAAGATAATGATACACAGAATAATAATAGCTGACGTTCAATTTCTATGAGTTCAGTGGTGTGTTAGCCTCGTTTTACCACAGATAGTTAAGACGAAACACTGCTTAGGTAGTCTGTCTCAGTCCCGAGACCACATTATTTTCCCTACTGCCGAGCCCTAAATAAAGCAAGTCTAGATTTCCTCAGGTTCAAGCTGAATTTCACATCTTACCGGGGTTCCTTTTCAATTTAAGTGTTACTATCAAAATTATATATATTCAGAGGCTAAGCCTATTTCTGAAATGTATACATGTCATTTTAATAGAAACAATAACATATAAATTGAATAGGAGCCCAAGTGAAATCGGAGTTTCGGATCCTGTGGAAAATCTAGACTTGCTAGATTTTTGGCCGTAGCATTACTGTAAGATGTAGGCGGTGGGGAAGCTATTATGGTTCAGCGACTGTGAGATCAACTAGTTCCGGTGTTTATACTCCACCGACGTGAGAGTCTACTTAAATTCAATGACGCCAAGGCCTCCGGTGGGCCTCCGCGACATCCATTCGAATCCCAGTTCATCCTGATTGTGTTTTTGGATTGGGAAGATTCCATCTGAGTTCTTAAAAACACACACACACACACACACACACACACACACACACACACACACACACACACACACACACACACACACACACACACACACACACCAGTGAAATGTAAGTCTAAAGATGGTAGAGCCCCCAAAAACTCAAAAAAAGATTAAATAAAAAGAAGAAAGAAAAAACAAACAAGCAACAAAAAACCCCAAAACCCAACAAGAAACAACAACAAAAAACAAACACCACAAAAAAAACTAAAAGAAACCCAAACACACCACAAGAAGACAAGACAAAACGACGGCTTTTAAAAGCAAACACCCGCCATCAATTTCTCTGTACTACCTCTTCCCATCGTCGTGTTTACAAAGCTGTCTCAGTATCCACCAAATGCGACTTCTTCGTGTAACCTGATGTCTTTATTGGCATGGCAACCTTGTGGCTGACAATCTGAAGTTCGGTTCCTAACGTGGGCGCCGGACACTGAAGTCCTATCTGTCTTCCAGGCCCGAGAGAACGGATATAAACTGGAGCCCAACTTAATCCAGATTGCGTGTAAGTGAGTATTTAAGCCGCCTTTAGCAATGTTCCTGCAATACCTTGAAGTGGACACCAAAACAGGGCTTCACACATTGTGCACTTTGTGCGGACCCGAACCAGGGCCTAGATTTTCGAAGCTTTCTTAGCGCTGAGATAGTCGTAATTGCCATACATTAACGTTAACTTACGACTATCTTAGCGCTAAGAGAGCTTCGAAAATCTAGGCCCCAGGTCTTTGGCGTGACGAGCGAAGGCTTTAACCACAGGGCTACCCCACCACCCCTCAAGAACAGTCTAGATCTGCTCTGAATTTAGGAACTGTTCTCAGCACCTTTTGTATTTTACTTATTTTTTATTTCTGTACATATACATTTGTAAATAAGATTACTTTATTTCTGGTACTTATAATAATTTTGTGAGTTGTAGTGATCCGCGTCGTTGGAATTGCGTCAACCAAGGGAGGTAACTCTTGTGATCATATATCGTGCTGTCCTGTCTGTTTATTTATAGCAGAGATTTTACGCCTCTGCGATGTTCTAACAGCCTACCAGTCGCCAAGTCAACAAGATATGCACAGGTTTATAATATAGTCAGTCATATGTTAGCTCTCTCTTTAATGTCTGTACCACATCGAAAGATTGATCTCACCAAAAGAAAACCTATAAAGAACACAAAGGGTATGGAATTTCCATTGATACTACACACTTTAGGAGTACATGTTTGGGAGATAAGAGATTTTGTACATATAAAAATAATGAATTTTAAAAAATATAGAAGAACATATTTTCACAATATCTACGGCAAGCTACAAAGTTGAATGAGAGGCAAACTTAAATTATTAGCCTTGACTTAAAGCCATTGTCAGCCACACAGGTCTCCGTTCTTAAAACCTTTTTTGACTATTAACTATCCTTAAAACCAAGTTGGGCAGCCATTAACGACTAGTTGAGACCTCAGTTAGTAGGATATTCTAAAAATACAGAGGATTAGATCCAGTGAAGCATATTTCGCATCACCTACATATTCCCGCAAATGAAAACAGTGCTGATTTTGTTTTCAGTCGGAGAAAGTCCTAAATTCGTTGATCTTCGTTTTAGGACTTTCCCCTGCACAGCCGGCGCCTGTAGCTTTTTTGGTGAACTTTGACCAGCTATATCACGGTGTTTCATCTGAATGTGAGAGGAAAGCCTGCAGTAACCCAGGTCTCATGGGCACAGTCAGTGCTCCAGATAAAGTTACCTTTTTCTCATAAACAAAGCAGACCCCCAACATCGCCAGTGAAAGTGAGTGAGTGAGTATGGTTTTACGCCGCTTTTAGCAATATTCTAACAATATCACGGCGGGGGACACCAGAAATGGGCTTCACACATTGTACCCATGTGGGGAATCGAACCCGGGTCTTCGGCGTGACGAGCGAACGCTTTAATACTAGGCTACTCCACCGCCTCTCCTGTGAAGGTAAAACGTTGAGGAACAGTATTCCCACTCCGTCCGTACATAGTCCAGGATATAGGCCGAATACGGCTGAAAGTCCAAGTTTCTGTCACTATTCAAAACACAGCAAAACAACAGAACTACAAAAACTATAAGTGACGCGATTTTAGTAAACCGGATACACGGGCTCCCATTTCTCGAAACAA